AACATGAACAGGTCAACTAACACTGGCTGAGGAAATTTCTTCTAATGTCAATAAAATAAACCAAAACCGAACCACAGCTCCCCCATCATTTGTTTGAGAATTGTTACTGAAATGAAAAGACTTTTTTTCAGTTTTCCTTAAAAAGCTTGTGACTCAAAACTGACTTTTAAAGATTTTTTAAAAGCTCTACAAACATGATTTCTACAGACTCCATTTTCCCTCTGCCTCATAAATAGACTGGAAATGTTAAAATTAAAATAATTTTACATGGGCAGGTAGTGACAGGACAAGGGGGATGGCAGCCCACTACCACAGAGCAGGGTTAGATGGGATGTTGGGAAGAAATTGCTCCCTGTGATTGTGGTGAGCCCTGGCACAGGCTGCCCAGAGAAGCTGTGGCTGCCCCATTCTGGAAGTTGCTGGTTTGGAGCAACCTGGTCTAGAAGATCTCTAGAAGGTCCCTTCCAGCCCAATCCATTCTGTGACTTTATGAATTCCAGGATGCAGATCCAGCTGAAAGCATCCAATCTCCATTTAAAACATGTTCATGGACAGAGCCATGCATATAGAGACACATGTAGTCTATTTTTAGGAAGAGACACATTCTCTAATGAAAAGCCAGGAGTGATCCCAGCTGTTCTCAGTGCATTTACCTTTCTGAACATCTCTGTCAAGTACTTCATCAAACAATTTTTCCTGGACTGTGGGCGGTAAATCTTCAATATCTGAAAAAACAGAATGCAAATCCAAGAGTCACTAAATGTTACTGTTACTGCTGCTCAGGAGAACTCACAGAACAGCTTTAGCCCTATCAGCCCTAACACCTCCTCTGGAAAGCTGCTGTCATGTGTGACCCAGGGCTTTGCAGAACTGCTGAGGCAGGCTTGCATCTCAGCCTCACTGTCACACCTCTGATGCAGAAAGGATCATCACAGCATGCACAGGGTAAGACTGGATTTCTCTCAAGGAGAAAGTGGAGAACAAGCACTTTGAGATGAGAAATTTTACAAAAGAGTATTTTTACTTTCAACCCTATTGTATTTTAGCACAGCTTCAATCCTAAGCAATGCTTTTCCACCCATGTGGAATGGCTTCTCCTCTGCAGTCTATCCCAATGAACAGGGATCCATTCCCAGTTTGCCAAGGGATGAGTTCTTCTCCAGAACATTCCCCTCCTTTGTGATCTCATTCAGGCTTCAATAAAACAGCTCTGAGAACCCCAATGGTTTGCAGCAATTAAAAAACAAGACATGGGAAAACTACTGAGCTATGCCATAGAAAATGCCAGTAGTGACAACTGCTCCAAGAGCATCACAGACAGAATTTGCAACTACCTAATAAAAAAGGAGGGAAAAAAAAGGTGGAAAACTGTATAATGGGCAGAACTGTTTTGTGACTGCTGTATCATTTAAAGCAACAAACACTGCCACACATTCTAAAACTCAGCATGTGCCACACAGTAAATATTTGCTCCTGGCCTGCATTCCAACAGAGGATAAGCAGTAAAGGGTTGCCAGGCAGAGCAGCAACCAGAGAAACTTCACTGGTTCCAGCACAATCATGAAACTTAAACATGTGAAAGTTAAGGCAGTAATAAAATAGGAACAGGAACATCCAGCACCCCTTCAGGCACTTTAGGGGATAAGGACTGGGGCCTAAGTGGTATTTCAAGGACACAAAGATCTCTCTTAATTGCAGTGTGGTAGCTGCCAGTCCTGCTCAGATGTCCAGTACCCCAGGGCTTCAAGCCCACATTTAGGCACATGAGTTGCTACTGAAGCACATTAATGCCTGCTGCAGGCAGGGTGATGTGGAGTGGTCTTTTTTTTTTGGTATGATTGATTGGGGCTTTTTAAGCTAAAACTGCTTGCAGTGACCAGTAATCAATGTAAAAGCTTTGCTCTCTAATATCCAAGCATTGGCTCTTCAGGAGGATCCAATCTGTTTATCTGAAAGGTCGAGTGGAAACTGGTTCCTAAACTACATTGTTCAGGTAATATCTTAGCAGGATTGTGTGATTTACATTTCTATCCTTGGAAATGCTCTCTGGAGCCAAACTGCAGAAGATGTGCAGTTGGCAAAGTGTGAGGAAAGCAGAAAGTCTTGATGCACAAAAGCTTTTGAACAGCTTTATTTTTTAATTACTAAATGGCTACTACATGACTCAAAGATCTGCACAGTGCTTTAAGATGTCTCTCTTGAAAACACTAAACAAATTCTTAAGCCCTGGAGAGAACATTTCTCACATGTTATGAAATCCTTGTTGCCCCTTTCCCTCCTCTCCCTTAAAAAGCAATGAAACTTTATTCTCCCAGACACCCCAAGTGCCTCTCACACACAACCCACAGAGTAAAACTGAACATAGCATCTCAGTCAGGTGCACAAGTGGTAAATATTATCCAGAATTTTGTAGAGGAGATGAGGTAATACTCAACCCAAGGGGTTCCAAACAGAATTTTTGCAATATTTTTATAAAAAAGACAAACAGATCTGCTGATTGGCACAGTTTGCAGCTACACATTTTCTGACTAGTGGTAGCACTTCTATTAAAGGAAACAGCTTTTGAAGATTACAAGTCTTCTAATAGCTCCTTCTTAATAGGTAAACATTCTCTTGATCTCAGAGCACCTCAAAAGTATTCAAAAATTGCTACAACTAGGTAAAAAGAACAGCTCTGGGCCTCCACAGCAAGAACTGGAAGCTAAAATAGCCATGGGAAAAGTCACATCACGGACCAGAAATGTCTGGGCTCCAATCTTCACTTTAAACACAGCCTTTCCTTAGAACACACCACTTGTCTTCCATTTCTTCATGTCTAAGTAGGGCAACAGATGCTCAGTTCACAGGAAAAGTGTATGGACTGAAGAGTGCAAATACTGAGTAATCAAATTCAGCTACTAAATCTGACCTAATAAAATAGGTCTTGAAAAATAAAACTCTTAATAAATTGATTAATAAGCCTCTTAATGAATAAAACCTACATCACCACCAGAAAGTCCAAATACCTAATTTCCAACTAGTGGCCAAGCAATAAAATCTTCCAGCAGGAAGAAGAGGTTTGTAGCTACCTGCAGGCAAGGTGAAGGTGACAAGGTCAGTCAGGAAGTAGCAGGCAAAGTCTCCCTTGCGCTGATGCAGAGATGCAGCGATTTCACGGCGGATCTGCTCCGTGACCTCGGGACACACCATGGCAGGAATGCACTTGGCTGCATGCTGGGACACCTGGAAAACAACACATTACTGCACTCAGCATCAGCCCTTGCAATGTAAAGATTTGGAAGGGATGAGCACCAGCAGAAGGAGTGCAAGAGAGCTGTGAACACTGGCACCCTGAAAAACGTAAAGTTTAGTGACTCTTCATGAAATGTCTCATTTGTCATGGGAATGATAACATAGACCTGGTTAAAAACATCTTTAAATTGAAGAAGTGAGTTAAAAGGTGACCACTCCCAGCTGAAAAAGAGGAAAACAATAGGTAAGAGCTCATAATAACAGCAATCTCAGATCTCATGCCTGAGTCAAGTCTAGACTCAACAAAACTTTATTAGCACTGCACAAGAAGTTTCCTACAATCTTCCCAAAAACTATGAAGCTAAGAAAGTTAAATTTCTCCAGTTCACCGGCAGCAGAAACCCATTCAATGATGGACAGGTGGCACAGGGATGACACCAGATGCATATAAAAAAAGTACCTTCAAGATCCACATTTTCACTCATTCATATCCTAGAAAAGGAAATTATCACTGGGGCTCAAACACTACCAAGCATTTCCAGAAATGACAAGATGAGTCAGTATTCCTAGGCACTGAAACAAAACCAAACACAAAAATCCCTAAGACATTATTTCAGTAAATTAACTTGTTTTAAAACATGTAACTCCATCCACACAGAGTTATGTAAGCAGCACAAACCTGCTGATATTACTCGTATATAAATATATACTCAAGGCTTTAGCTACATTTGTCTTGCTTCATCTACTCTTTTTAATTATTCAACATTGAGCATTCCATCATCTTTATGTGCTTTGTAGGCAAACAGCAGCTTTCAGAATTGCACTAAGCATCAGGGAAGGAGGCAGAATAAAAATCTGGCCTTGATCAGGTGAGGAACCAAAAGTCTGAGTTTAGGGAAACAGACAAAAAAAGGTAACAATTATTTACAGGGCAAAGATGGAGAACAGCAGAGGTCACCAGAAGCCAGGTGACACAATGGAATGTGGAAGAGCAAAATAGAGGAATCAGTCAGTCTATAAAATGGGCAAGAAATAGAAAAAAATGCAGCAATTTTGCAAAGCAAGAAATCTGCCTCTCTCTGGAAGAGAAGCTGCCCCAAAAGCCAGGAAAGCCAGTCCAGGTAGACTTATTAACAAACTCATTAACAAACAGAGAATAAACTGCGCTGTCATTGATGTCAGTGCTTTGCTTTGAGAGCATTTCCTCTCCCTCACCAGCGCACAGGAAGCCTCACAATAGCTCCCTTCCACTGCCAGTAAAGTCCCAACGTGTGCCAAGACTGTTCATTAATGAGCAAACTGAACATCCTCAGCACCATCACAGGGAGTCTCTTAAAGCCAACTCCCTCCTTGAGGAGAACCCAAGGCACGGGGATGTAAATTCCTGCAGCAGCACCAAGCAGAGCTGTGCACCACTGGCTGCCTGTGGGATCTCAAGATTTGAGTCCTGGCATGCCGGGCCCCCGAGACCACCCTTGGGGGGCCCGAGAGTCCTGGAATGTTGCCAGAAGTGTCTGGTGACAAGACTTTGACCCTACACGAGAGACGACACCTTTATGAAGATAAGAGGGCCTCACCGGGGTGAAAGGTGAAAAGATTAGCTAATTAGAGGGTGAGAAACAGAGTTTAAGATTTATGTACAGGGGGGTTTAGAGGAGTAAGATGGAAGAATTGGGGTGTGTCCTGCCCTCCTTCTTCTTCCTCCTCTCCTCCATCTTCTTTGGCCACAGTGGCACCTTTAGATTAGTTATTACTAAGAGTACACCGAGTTATAACAATAGATGGTATTGAGGAAAAATGATAAATATTGTATACGTAGCAAGAGGTATAAAGATACGTGGCAGTCCGGGGGACGGCACAGTGTGCCCATGGCTGACTGCTGAGCGGATCTTTGTTCAGCTGAAAGAACATCTTTTAGATAAACAATTAATAAACATAAAACCAGAAAGAAGAACTGAAGCCTCTTCTCGTCCTTCGATACGCGGGCTGCCCCAAGGCCACCCCGGGCCTTTCCAGGCCCTTCAAACAGCCGAAATAAACCAGACAGCTGCCCACAGGGGAGCAGCTCCTGCAGGGGCCAGGGGGGCTCTCTCACCTCGGTGAGGAGGATGGCCAGCATGTCCTGCCTCTGGAAGCGGATGGCCAGGTGCACGAGCGTGTAGCCCACGTCGAAGGCGGACGGGCGGTTCAGCAGCCGCACCTCGTCCGCCGTCAGCTGCCGGGCAATGTCCCCTCCGGATGACTTGTAGGCTTCCACAGCAGCCAGGTCACCTTCCACAACTCCTGAGGGCACAGAAACAACACACAGCCCCTTTCAGACACAGGGAGCCATTCTGGAACAAGCCACCTCATCTCACAGCTCACCTGGAGCTGTTCTGTTACAGGCCAAACAGACAAAGATCAGCTGCAAGTTGAATCTTTGAAACTTGCCAATTTTTTTATCATTTCAGGCAGAAGGCTACAAAATATTTACACTTACCTCATCTCAGACCATTTCTATTACCCACACTAGCTGGAAAATGTAAGAGACCAAAAGGCAGCTCAGAAGTGGACCCCTGATGCAACACCAGCAGTAACATACACACAAGCATTTCAGTTGACCAGAGAGAAACTTCTTCACAGTACAGAGATTAATTTGATTATTTAATCACCAATTACTAGATCATAGAAACAGGACCTATTAAAAGATCTTTTTTGGACTAAAAGTTTTATTTTTTCCAATTTTTTTTTTTTTGTACAAATGGTACAAAGCATAAATTTTTCTCTTCAGCTCACCATCTCTGCTACTAATGGAGCCTCAGAGTTTCACTCAGGATACTCCATTAAAACTGAATTACAGAGAAATTAAATACACTGTGTGTACCTTCTAAAGATGAGAGGAACAATGAATGACCCCAATGTCTCCTAGAGTCCCTGGAAACCTCTGATTTATGTACCATGCTTCCTACCAAGCCCAATCCTGCTGAATGCATTCCTTAGCTACAATTATCAGAACACACCATCAGTAAGATGTGGAGCTGCTAACAGGATCTGTTCCAATACAAGACTTCCCAAATTTAGAAATTCCTTCAGATATATTCTATTTTAGGTGCGTGGTCCATGAGAGAACAGTGCAGTGCTGAGCTGAGGAAACAGAAGTGTCCCTAAAGCCATCTTTACTGGAGCACTAAATGGAATCTCACTCCTGAGAAGCAGCCCTTGTTGCAGCAGCTCAAGCAGAGAAGAGCGCAGATGACAAATGAGAAAACCCAGTCCCTATTTTCTGCAGCTAAACCTCCTTCCTGAGAGCCAGCAGCTGAGTGGAGGCTGGAAATTGAGACCCAACTCCATCCTTCACTTCATCTGCTCACCAACACACAAAAGCTGATGAACAGGAAAGGTCATCAAACCCAGTCAGGACAATCACTCCCACTCAGGACATGAAATTAAATAAAAAAAGGAAAAAAACCACAACACTTCCCACCCCCTCATCCCAAATGAGTAAAAATCCTCTACCAAAATTAAAAAAACTCCAACACAACAAATTGAAATGGCTGCTAGCAGAGAAGCACAGTAACCACTGGCTTGCTGGTTAATCCAGGATTTAGGAAAGCATTCTTAGCTCAGCCAAAAAGTATCATTTGAATGCTGAGATTATAAAGCTTTCAGAAGAAACACAGGGGGAAAATGGATTATCAGTGCAAGACATTTCTCTACAAAGTTATCAGCTGTGCTGTGTAAGCTTCCACAGATACCAGCTGGATTATTCAACAGTGGTCTGAAGCAGAGAAGTTCCAAAACAACAATTCAACTGCAAATTTTAGTCATCCAGTATGTACCCACTCATTGCAGAGTCCTACCAGGCCAGGCCAGAAGGAAAACCACACAGACAGGGTTTTGCAGTTCTGTGCTGCAGGTGTCTGTCTCCTATAAAGGAGACACTCCTGCTCCTCTCCAGCACTACTCTCTCATTCAGTGCCTGCCTGGCTTTCTCCCCAGATGAGCTCTATCTGTTTTATTTTATTTTAGTTCTTGCTCTGTAGGAGTCACAAGTGCCAAGTGTAGGACTTGATTTCCATGCAAGCAACATTTCTGCCACTGATAAGGCAATTCCTCATGGCTGCTGCAATGATCATTCCAACCAACTGCTCCAAACTGGTATTTGGTGTGTGTGTGTGCAGATGTGGATGTGTATCCAGATAACACATCAAATTTCTCATGACCTGCCCTCTTAAAACAAGTTATACCACAGCTCTGGCAAACCCAAGAATCAAAGGAAAGAAGAAACTTGATAGAAGAGCGAATTCTCTGCTATTTTATTATATTCTTGTTTTTTTATTGTTACATTAATTCAGGAGAAGCACCTTGTTAAAGGCCAAAAGGCACATCACCCCTTTTTGTATTTTAACCCCTCCTACTGACAGGGGAGACTCCTGGCACCACATCTGCACCATCCCCCAGACAAACACACCAAACACCACCCAGGACTGGTAGGTGGCCATTCTGAGAATCCAAATATCCACAACTGATTTCAAAATTCAAACAAATATCCCTAAATTGATCTTTTGGTGACAGATGATCAGACCCAAATCACATTCCAGCCAGCCTGTCAAGCAGTACATGTTACTACAGCCTACTACTGGGAAATTAATCTTTTTAATTGCTCTTCCAGTCCCCCACCCTCAGCTGCTTATTACCATCCCACTCTTCATCAAACCTCAGCAACAACTGAGCTCCAAGGCTGATGCTGAGGTGCTCACATGAGGTTTGGCAATGCCTTTTCCAAGCACCAACTACTAGAAGCTGCATAAGGATCCAGATCAGTGCATGTGCTCCATGCAGCACTGCCAGTTCTGGAAGTTTATTCCCACATCTTGCAATACTTGACATTTCTCAAAGCCCCATGTCCTAGAATTACTAAAATTGTTATATAAGCTGTCAGTTAAAAAGTACATTTCTAAACTTTGCTGATGAAGTTTAAGCTCAAGTAATGCATAAAACCAGGCTGAGTATGCTTTCTAGGCCTTATTTAAAAAAATAAACAAGGAAATGTATTTCTAGTAGTATTTCAGGTACAGGGTTGGTGTGCTGCATGACACAAACCAGCAGAGCTACAGCTCACAATGTGACTGTGGGCATGGATGCTATCTGGTCATCCTCTGTTTTTTAATCCAAACAGGTTAAAATTACTCTTTATAGCAGGGGGAAGCATCAGGAAGTTTTTGTTTGTCTAGTCCAACTCACAGGGCTGATACTCCTTGGGCATTACAAGCCTCCTTGGCCTCTCTGAGCCACAGCAAGTTAACATTTCTCTTTACCTGTTCCACCAAATATCTGCTCCATGCAGCCACTTCAGAAAAACAGAGAAAATCCCTGACAGCCCAGCAAGTGCCACCCTGCTAACAGTGCCAGTCCATACAACCCAAGGGCAGCAGTGAACACAAAATCTAACAAGCTGACTGTTAGAAACATGAACCAGAAAACACAAATCTTGCCCCAGAACTATGAGGTGAATTTGCCTACATGCACCATGCCTGCAGTTCTGAAATTCAGTATCACCATACTAAAATGAGACCTGAATATGCTTGTACTGACAATAGGAGGCACATTCCTACAAAGGCTTTGATTTCTGTGGGATGAGCCAGAGCCTCCAATTCATTAAGTCTATTTAAACAGAGCTCAAAACCCCCACTGTTTATGAGAAATACTACAGAAATATTTACTGATGTTCTAATTCCCAGCATTTCACAACACAGAAGTGCCTCATTACTTACACAAGCAGACTGAATTGTGTCCTGTGCCAGTTGGATTATTCCCCACTGACACCCACTGCATTCCCCAGACTGGTAAAATGTCAGAAGGGAGAGTGGTATTGGCCTTAGGATTGTTCCCAGAAGAGGCTCCAGGAGCTCCAACCCTGGTGAGGGCACAGCCCTGAGTGGCTGCAAGAGCAGCACAAATGCAAACACATCCCAGTGACCACAGCTCCCCTCTAAAGGGGACTCCAGCAATGTCCCTTTGCTGCTGCCCCTGCCTACCCCAGTCTGTGTGTGTGCCCCTAAAATTCTGCTTGGCCCCATGGAAAATCTCTGACTATAGTCTGACATCCTAAGGGAGAGGACAGAATGCCATGAGAAAATCCAAGTGCAAGTCAGAATTCTGCATTTGCAGGTTCAACTGTGCTCCCATTTTGCAATTCAGGCATTTCCTCTCATTGGAAGACTTTCACAGCATCAGGAGCCAAGGTTTTTTTCTTCTTTTAGCAAAGCCCTGTCTCTTAAAAACAGCACAGATCAGATATTTGCAATCTTAGTATATATTAGATGACAGAAATTAAGAAGGGTATTCCAAAAGACTAAATTTTTTAAAAAAATCTATCACCCAATTACAACTCTTACCATCTTGATCCTCCTACAACTTTTACAACTTCCTTCTTTATTAGATGTCAACATTATCCTCATATTAACTAAGCCAGAATTAGCTGCTAAAACCAAACTATTTCAGCTTAAGGTGCTATTAAGTTTATACTTTAGAACATGTAAATATTTATAGGGTTTAGTGCAGTAACAGAAACTTGGAAAATATGCAAGATAGGCTTACATGCATTTCTAGAAAACCAAGTCTTGTTTCAGACTTTTTCAGTGGCTTCAGAGCAGCCAGGCAGAAAAATTCCCAAGGAAAACACAACAGCACAACCTTTATTTACTTCAGTACCTTTCTGATGGTTGTGAGGCACTGCCTGGCACAAGCTGCAAATGCAGGAAGGAAATTCTTCCAGCAGACTGCTGCAGTTGGGACTATCCAGAGAACACCCTGGGATCAGGGATTCCTGGGGTTCAAGGAGGCAGCAATGCCTGCAATAACTCTGTTCTTCCATCTGAGCAGACTGCAAAAGGAAATATTTCATCTTACAGAGGTCACTGTGCCTCTGTGTGGGACAATGCCTTGATCTGCCTGGCAAGAGAGGGCAAATTGCTCAAACAACCAAGTTCTACATTTTAGAAGTCAGAAGTGGAGACAGCTCCTGCTGTAACATAAAACAGATCAGAGACAGAGCACAGAGCCCTGGGCTGCTTCTCTTCTGCCACAGATACAACTGCAGGTGGTCTGTCACAGATTTGCTCTCTCTCATTTACTCAGCTAAGGACTAATCCTCAGACTGGTTTAAGTGCCAGCAAGTGAGAGGCTGCTCAAGTGAGCCACTAAAACCTAACTCTGCCACCTGGGAAGAATCTCCTCTCCTCTAACACAGACTGCTGAGGAGCTGGGGCATTTTCTGGAGCTGAGTCAGCCCTCAGGCTCTT